AGAAAATAAACTTAAAACCCAAAATGAATTCATCTATTATCACCTAATGCAGGTTTACTGCTTGCCTTTCAAATAGATAGGAGTCTCTTTCAGAATGAAAACTCAAGCTGAAGTGCTGTCATGCCAAAACATTTATTGAGATCATCATATAAAACATGATAATTTTGTTGATATGATTTATTCATCTAAGAAAGTAAAGAAAGTTTAAGAAAAAAAAGCGAGAACAGTAGTAAGTTAGCCATGATGAGAGGTCTTAGGGAAGTATTCATCGAAATTGTATTCATAGAAATTATTTCCTGAATCCAGAGCAACTTAAAATTTCATATGGAGAAAAAGAATTTAAACTGGTATCTAGGCTACAGTTTTTCTGTTTAATGTTTGTTTGTTTATTCATTTATTTATCTGATGTGGGAGACACAGGGTGTGAGCAGGGGAAAGGCAGAGAGGAGGGAGAGAGAATCCCAAGCAGGCTCCACGCTGTCCGCTGTCAGCCCAGAGGTGGATATGGGGCTGAATCCCACAAATAGTGAGATCACGACCTGAGCCAAAAATCAAGAGTCAGGCACTTAACGGACTGAGCCACCCAGGGACCACTTTTTTTTTTTTTTCCTTTTAATACAGTCCTTCTTAACTTGCCAGAGATGATTAAGAAAAAAAGGAACAGGGAAATAAAACATCACACCATCACCAAAATATATTATTGACAAAACCCAGAAACTACCCCTGCTATCAATTAAAAAACCAACTTTAATTTGTTTAACATTTATATAACCAGTACACAGCAGAGGGCCTAGCACATCATAAGAACTTAGTAAGTACTGGTTGAAAAAAATGAATGAATAAATAAACTAAGGTACTGCAAGCCAATGCAACAGAAATGAAAAATACCCACTAATTACTCTCTGAAAGAGCACAGCCATAAGCAAGTAGATATAAAGACCATTACCTCCTCTTTCACTATTTTCTTCTGGTTCAGAAACATACTAACAGAAAACCATGCAGCTTTTTCTCTACTGGATGGGAGCTATTTTTTGAGACAGTAGTCAGTGATTATTTCCTGTTACTCTTCTCACTCCGCTACTATTCTGTTTCTTGATCTAGTCAGTGACTAAATTTCTTAGAAAAAAAAAAAACTTGGCAAGAAGTAGAAAAGTAGTGGTGAACTGCTTTTTTTTTTTTTTTTTTTAAAGTAATCTCTACACCCAACATAGAGCTTGAACTCACCATCCTGAGATCAAGAGTCAAGATCAAGAGTTATGTGCTCTTCCCACTGAGCAAGCCAGGCACCCCTAAACTGCATTCTTAAACAAAAAAAAAAAAAGAGTAACCCATGGAATATACTGTCTATGGGACAGCTGTTAAGGATCTCCGGCAGCTGTGAATATCTGAGGCTATCATTTTCCCACATGCTCACCTGTCCAGAAGAATGTACAATCAGGCAAAGAAGAAAACCCAATTCAAGACCCTGGAAACTGAGCTAAGAGATTTGTATAAGGACCTGTACAACGGTAGATCAAAGATGACCCAAGTTAAGAAAAATGTGGGGCTATGGACAATATATGTACATTGTCTTTTAGCAAACACTCCCAAGGAATAGCATCCTCGCTATTCAAAGAGAGGAAAGACATCTAAAAATAGGACTCCTAAACAAAATTTTAGAAAATTATTTGGCATCAGTAGAATACAAGAAGCTTTCCTAACTTTGAAATAGAAAGTTCAAGGACATCCAAGATGAAAAGGTGAAAAATAATTAAGAACTAAAATTGCACTGGAGGAAACAAGGGTAAAAATAAACATGACAAGTTTAACTCACTGATACAGAACACAAAAAAGATAGCTCAGAATGTAAAATAAAAAGTAAGAGATGAAAACTACAAGAAATATAATGATAAGAGAGGACAAAGGAGCTGTAAGCTAAGAAATACGGTTGTTCCTGAGGCTAAAACAAGAAATAGAAAAGATCAATAAGTAACAGTAAGGCTGAAAAATTTTCCTGAATGAAAAAAAAAAAAAATTTCAACTTTTAGATCACTAAATGTCAGGCAATAATCAGCGAAGAAACTATTATACCTTGAAAAGTCTTAGGTAAATCTTAACTACAAGGATAAAAACAAAATATCTAAAAACATGAAGGTAGAAAAACTAACCTAATGAAAAAAATGCAACTCAGGTTGACTTTGGATATTTCTCTGCAACATTAAGTAGCAGAAAACAATGAAAGGAAGTTCCCAAGTTTTAATAGAAAAACAATGTGAGTCAGAAATTTTATATTTTAAAAATGTCTTTAGACCCACAAATATGTTACTAAATACACAAAGACTCGGAAAATATAATTCCATGTATCCTTCTTCAAAGAATTTCTTGAATAAATCATCCACTTGAGGCACCACAAATTAAAATTAAAACCTTAAAAATGGAAAAGCCATTACATTAAAAAAATCTGTTAAGATTACTGAGAGTAGTTAAAAATACATATAGACGTAAAAACAAAAACAAAAACAAAAAACAGGTTCCAAACCACAGATACTGTCCAAGTAACTATACAGGGCAGTGGAAAGAAATGAAATGTACAAAATTCTCTGTTTCACATATATGAGGGGAAAAAGAAAAAGGAATCTGTTTAAGTGATTTTGACTACTAAAGAAATATGGATTAAAAAGTCTTCTGGGGCGCCTGGGTGGCTCAGTCGGTTAAGCGTCCGACTTCAGCTCAGGTCACGATCTCGCGGTCCACGAGTTTGAGCCCCGCGTCGGGC